AGTTTATTAGAGAAATGAACAGGTTGCAATTCAGGGTCAGAAAATCCTCAGACTACAGGTTTTAGTAAGGACAGTGTTTCTTCTCTGCCATGGCCACAGGTAGGCCGGTCTCTCATGCCCTGTCCTGGCATCTGCCCTGCTCCAGGAATGGTGCAAAGCTCATTTAGGTCTGCTGATCCATGCCCACAGGGGACACCCACTCTACCTAAGCCTCAGTCTGAAGGCCCACAGCTGTAGCTCCGTGGGTCAGCAAACTTAAGTGCCTGGAGGCACCCCACTCTGCAAAGAAGTCTCCTGCCCAAAGTCACTGCCTAAAGTTGGAGCTTTACTTGCTCTGTGGGCTGGGAAACCCACCACTTGGTCTCATGTTCTGGATCTTGGTTCCGGTTCTGCTGCTGCTGCTCTTCTGCCCCTCCTCCCATACTCCTCTGATGTCACAGCTTTCTGTCTCTGGGTCGAGGAGGTTCAATACGTGGGGATCTGAGGATCCAAAGGACATGCTCCACTCCCATCTCTTCCCGCTCCTGCTTCTGCTACCCATGCTAGAGTTTCAATTTTGTTTTTTCAACATTTTATTGTGAATGGATTGAAGGTTTACAGACAATAGAGTTTCTAGTTTTGACAATTACGATGAAGTGTGTTCACATCCACAGCTGAATCATATCCTGTCAATCTCTTCTTCTACCTTTTCTTACTCAGCACCATTAGGTAAAGAGTTGTTTGGTGGCAGTTACAAGGACTATGGACATAAGAACCATAGGAAGTAATCCACTGCACTTCAGAAGCCTTCACTGAAAACACAATGAAAAAAAACAACAACATACACATACATAGTGCTGTTGTTGAGTGCCATCAAGTCAGTTTCTACTCATAGCAACTCTGCACAGGGTTTCCAAGGAGCTGCTGGTGAATCTGCACTTTAGACCTTGTGGTTTGCAGTCCAGTGCTGATCCTACAATGATCATACAGTTCCACACCAAGTGTTTCCCGTTAGGTTGGAACCAACGTTTCAGTTAGAAGTTCAGTCCTTACTCATTTGCATCACTCAAGCACAAAAGAATACTAAATAATCTCTTCTTTTCCCCACTACCTGCTCTCCCTTCCACCTCCAGCCCCACTCCACAGAACACCTAGTATTTATGTAACCGTCCACACTTTAAAAAGTTTAATGACAGAAGAAGGTACATTTGTTTCCTTTCAGGAAATGTTTACTGAACACTATCCGTGTCAGTCACTGTTCGAGGTGATGGAAATACAACAGTAAACGAACAGAATAATGGAATGCATGTTCTAGTGGGAGGAAATGGCCAGTAAGCATGGAAGAAGAATTTCTGATAGTGTCGAGGGGCTGTGAACAAAATAAAACCAGGTAAGACAGGGAGTGATGTGGGCTGGTGGAGGTCCAGGTGGGCTGGTTGGGGAGGCTCTGCAATGAGGACAAAAGGTGGGAGCTGAATTGTAAGAAGGAGCCGAGATAACGTGGGCCCAGTGGAAGAACACTCCAAGGAGGGAAAAAGTCAGCCGCTTGTGAAGAAATGGGTGTGGATGGTAGAGTAAACTCTCATTATTTACAGTATTTACGTTCTACAATTAAAAAGTAAAGATGTTACTGGGTTGACAAAGATGAACTTGACCCAAGCCAGGGTCTTGTCAAGCACCTTATATATATGTGAAAACTGGAGAATGAACAAAGAAGACTGAAGAAGAATTCAAACATGTGAATTATGGTGTTGGAGATTGCCAGAAGAGAGCAAATCTGTCTTGGAAGAAATTCAGTTGGAATGCTTCTTAGAATGAGGATGGTAAGACTTTGTCTCATGTACTTTGGACATGTTATTAGAAAAGACAAATTGCCAGAAAAGATTCAAGAAAAACAAGAGGGAAGCTCTTAAGGAGATGGAGAGATACGGTGGTTAAAACAATGGACTCAACCACGGATGATCATGAAGATTCTGTTATACATTATGGGTCAGAGCCAAGATGGCAACTGATGACTACAATACCAGTGTTTCATCAAGTCGCTAAAAACACTGAACTGGCAAATGCTAAATCACTGATCACAAAGTTAAATTCCTGTAAGATTCTGGTTATGACAGTTTGTTAAGTGAGTCCTGGGAAATAGTGAGTGTTCCTATCAGCCTCGTGTTCAGAAACATAAAAGGTCAACTCATGTTAATCACCCTTGAGTAGATTCTGATTTGTGATGACCCTAGTGTTCAGAGTACACGTGAACTCTGTAGGGTTTTCCAGGCTGTCACCTTTCAGAAGCAGTTTGCCAGGCCTTTCTTCCAAGGTACTTCTGGGTGGGTTTGAACCACCAGCCTTTCAGTTAGTAGTTTAACTGTTTGTGACTCCTAATAAACACTTCGTGGTGGTGGCTGTGTGCCCCTGTATAGGGTTTCCGAGACAGTAAGTCTTTACAGCAGCAGAAAGCTTCCTTTCTTCTGAACAGTGACTGATAGATTCGAACCACTGACCTTGCAGCTAGCAGTCTAACAGGTAACCCACTATGCTAGTCAGACTCCTGATAAATGCTTAGATAAAAACTAATTGGTTATGGTGATGGTAGGCCGTCAAGTCGATTCTGACTCAGAGCAACCCTGTATAGTGTTTCCAAGGCTGTAAATCTTTATGGGAGCAGAAAGTCTCATCTTTCTTCAGAAGTGACTGGTACATTCGAACTGTTGACCTTGTGGTTAGCACCCAACACATAACCCACAATGCTACTAAATGTTGCACAGGTGAGACCGAGAAAAACTTAAAGGGAAAATAGAGCTGAGAGGATGAGAAGAGTACAGAGAACAAAAAAGAACTACTAGAAATGCCAGGGGGTAGATTGGCATACGGAGAGCAGAGTGGAGAGTGTAAACCTTGAGCGGATTGGGTACTTTGTCTATTTCAGGTACATTGTATTTTCTGTTTGTGGTGAATATGAGATGAAAGTATCTCATTCCATAGCAATGCACTCCTCTCATATATGCAAGGAGTGCTGCTTTTTGACATCAATTGTTAGTAAGTTTCCTGTAAATCTGAGGTCAGTTACTTAATATCAACTTAAAAATGGGTCATCCTTAAGAAGCATGCACTGGAGTCTTCAGGGAACTATATTAATAGGCTGTAACCAGAAGTTAGTACTAAGCAGAGGCATACCTCTTCTAATGTGGAAAAAAAATCAATGTTCCTAAGATTTCAGAAAGCGAGGACCACCAATCAGGTGAGAAACTTGCAGTCCCCTTAGAGTGGTTTAATATGATGGTTTCATATTAAACACAATTTCAAATGGCAAGTTAACTTAATGACTAGACTGCAAGATCGGTGGTTTAAGCTCACCAGCTGCAGCTCCTCACTGGCTGTGAGACGGCACTCAACAACACCATACAATGTTTCAGTGTACAGTCCGCAGGTATTATCACCTTCAGATATTCTCTCATAAATGTTCAATCTTATGATTTATAAAGATACTGAAGATAAACAGCAATTATAACGAACACGAGGGAAACTCAGTAATCTATTTTCTTTAGAACTGACGTAGGACAGCGTCGTGGGTACGAACTCCTACCAGAAAGGGACTATTATTTGTACGGTATTTCATTAAGCCGAGTTCTCTTCTATCTTTACAATGCTGTTGTTTTTAAGTGCCGTTGAGTCGGTTCCTACCCATAGCGACCCTGTGTATAGGGTTTCCTAGGAGCTTGAACCGGGGACTTGGCAGTTCAAACCAACTTTGCAGTCTAGCACATTAACCCACAGCACCACACCAGGACTCCGTTCTTTATAATATACATGTTGAAATTTAAAATTTAGGCCTGGGTCCAGATTTTTAATCTAAACCTCAGGTCGTTAAGAACCACTATAATTTCAAGCAGGTTAGTTGCACTTTGTCTAGACTCCTTGTAGAAAAACATCAACCACAGAATGTTTATCTGGCGCAACATAGGCCAATTGCAGGAAAATGTAAAGATACTCACAGCGACTTTGTTTTCCAACTTCATGCGGTTCGGTCTAAATGGGAATTGTTGCTTTTAAACACAAGTAAGTGTGAGATGTCAACATAAAGTACTATGGGAAAACTAGAGATCAGACCATTCCAAAGGGAACCACTCGCCCTAATGGTACACAAGAAAGCTGGCAGACCCATCACTGAATATGAGTCCTCTGTTACATTTGCAAATCTCTTTGCAGGAAGAGGAAAGGGATGGAAAAGTCTGGGTGAAGGCTTTAAATGGCTAGTCAAGCGAGCACGGTGAGTCACTGTAAGTTTCCAGTTAACAACCTCCTCTGCAGGGGCGGAGGCCGGGCCCTGAGCACTTTACGAGCCACCCTGCAGTTTGTTGTAAAGTCTCAGGGTTTTATTGCCTCTCCCACCAAATGGACATACACAATGAAAGACGCTCTGCGGCGGCTTTGAAATGTAGGGCAACTCTGGCTGGGGGTGGGAGAAGAGTGGTGGAGGAACAGAGAATGAGGCGGGGAAGGGGCAGTGAAACGTAAGCGGGCTGGTGAAAGGCATTTTCAGGAGTTCAGAGCTTATTCTCCACTTTAAAACTGCTGCCAGTTTTCCCGCATCCTATGCCTGAAAGGAGGGAGTACACCACTCCTGTGGGCTGAAAGCCTCGCTGTCCTCCGCCCAGCGCCGCGTCGGCCAGGGCCTGCCTGTCCCAGCCCCCACCCGGTGACAGGTGGGGCAGCGGAGCAGCGCCCAGACATCTACCTTCACGCGCTGCCTGCCGGGAGACGGAGCCGCTTCCGGTTGTATCCTGTGCCCGAACTTCGACTCCCATCGGTCTCCGGGAAAACCGCAGCGGGGTCGCGCGGGCACTGCCGGAACTCGTAGTTCCGCCTTCGGCCGCGTTACATAGCCGGAAACTGGGGTGGACAGGGCCGAGAACTACCGAGGCGAAGGTACGGGTGGCGGCGAGGGGTCAATCTGTGCCGGGCGTGGGGTTGGCGGTGAGGCGCTCGGAGGTGGTTAGGGTTGGGTGGGAGATCCGCTCGCACACACGAGGAGGAGGGTAGAGGAGCTGCTGCCGCCGCCACCACCGTCGTCCTCGTCGCCGCGAGTGCCGATTCGGAATTGCAGCCGCTGTTGCGACGCTGGGGATTGTGTCGCTAGCCCCCGGCCCTTCTGCCTCGTCTCCTCCCCTCGATCAGCGCGGCCTGCTCCTCCTGGGTCCGTCGCCCCCGCCTCCATTTCCCGCCCTCTCTTCACCACACACACGGCCCCCCCGATCATGGATCCGGGCAGTGGTGGCGGCGGCGGGGGCGGAGGCGGCGGCGGGGGCAGCAGCGGCAGCAGCAGCAGCGACTCGGCACCTGACTGCTGGGACCAGGCGGACGTGGAAGCCCCCGGGCCGGGCCCGTGCGGCGGCAGCGCCTCCTTGGTGGCTGGGGCTGAGGCCCAGCGTGAGCAGCTCAGCGCGGCCTTCAGCCGGCAACTCAACGTCAACGCCAAACCCTTCGTGCCCAACGTCCACGCCGCTGAGTTCGTGCCGTCCTTCCTGCGGGGCCCAGCCCAGCCACCGCCACCTCCATCCGGCGCCGCCGCCAACCATCACGGAGCCGGCAGCGGCACAGAAGGCCCCACGGGTAAAGGGCCGGGACGCGGGAGGAAGCCGGGCAGAGGATGCGGGAGCAGACGGCCTGGGGCCGGATCCCACATGGGGTGGGGGTGGGGCTGGGCTTGGGCGGCGCGCTCGCAGGGTCCCGGGGGCGCGCGGCCGACAGACCCGGCTGGCACGTGCGGCACTGACAGCGACGCTGGGGGCCGGCAGCCCTGGATGGGACGGCCCGGAGCCCGGGGAGCCGACCTGCCTGGGGCGGCCGCGGTGGTCCACTCATGGGGACGGGGACTTAGTGCCACAGAGACCCGGTGGGGCCTTAGGCTTGCCCGCCCTTTTTCTTGGGGGATCCCGCAGTTACCTCCTAGAAATGGGAACCGTGTGGGACGGGGTGGGGACCACGGCCAGTGGGTGCCACGAGGCCCCGAGCTGAACAGATGGAGCTGGGAGTCGGCCGAGAAGGCGTTGAGAGTGCTGAAGAGTTGGAGAGGACAAACGCTGGAGTTTTTCCTTCCCTTTAGGCCTAGCTGAGCGTTTTCCTTGCTGCAGTTTCTATTATTAAAATTGTAATTACGTTTTAAATATCAATGCCACCAAACAGTCCTTAAGGAATACCCAAGATGCATTGCAGTCTAGCGCTCGGGCAGAAACTGTTGGCTATCAATACAAAGATCTTTTTCTCCCTTAGAATAGTTCATGCTTATAAAGTTCATAAAGTGTGACCAAGTTAGGGTTTCCGCTTAATATTAATGTGTGATAGGAAACGACATTGATTTGTGTGCACTTTTTCCTAAGTGGGATTTAGACGAAAGGAGTTGCCCTTTGTCAGTGACACGTTTAGAATTTTCATTGCTTTAAAATCGATTAGGTTGCTCCGTATTGCTTCCTTTGCCTGTATTCACGTGTCAGTAATTTAGTCCACAGACACATGAGCATTTGTTATAACCCAATAGTTGTCACGTGGCGTTTCTGACAATTACTTTTTGTGATTTCAAGGTAAGCTTGCTCTCTAAAAATCTTAGTGTTGAGATGCTGCCGTAGTGCTTTCAGGTACAGATTTTGAGGAATGTCAAATGAGTATTCTCACTTAATGATAATTATTTTGAGAATTATATTGATTCAAAAGACAGCGACAGAACCGTGCAGTGTCCTTTAATTTTGTTAGCCAGGCCATCGGAGGACTGAATCAGAATTTCCCAGCTCTCTTTTAATTGAGGGCACCTTTATTGCTCTGTATAGTAGTATCTCATAGGTAAGTGGACTTGCTCAAAGTGCCCTAAGAGTTTAGTTTCTTAGACTTCTGCTACAGTGTGTGCTCCAGAGGTAGAAGGGTATGATAGGGAGAAAGACTTCTGCCATGGATATGAGCAGAATCTAAGCAGCAGGTAGTTTGCCTTTGGTTGTTTTATTGACTGTGGTATTTCTTTCACTTGTGTGGGTAATTGGTTTCTTTTTGAATGGGAAAGTTTAGCTTTTATTTCTGTGCTTTGATGAAGAAACGTTGGCTACGTAAACTTTAGTTCACTTAAGGGTCTGTTTCCCCATACTTTATCTTGCAGACTCCTTTAATCCAGTCTTTTTGGCGTTCCCTCCTTACTCTGGAGCTGCCAGCATCCTATAGTCTTGGGAATTGTTTACAGCCATCAGCCAAATTGTCATCAAGGAAAACCATCCACAGAGCAGTGGTCTGAAATGATCACTGTTAGATATCTAGGTATTACCTAGAAGGGCTGGTTTGTTTTTTTTCTTTTCCTGATCTTTTTTTTCCTGTGCAGATTTGCAGTTTTAATCCTTTTCTTTTGATACTACTAGACTCTAGAATTAGGAAATGCAAATATGTATAGGGAAGTGGTTATCAATTAAAAATTTTTTTAAAGCTCCAGCATTATGGTCTTTTTATTTTTAAATCAGACATGTTTGGTGTTAATGAGTTTAGAAAGAAGCTTCTTTTATAAGATGTCAATTAATGTTGAAAATTATATTGTACTAGTATGTTGTGTAGCGTAGTGGTTACGAATCGGGCTGCGAACCTTAAGGTC